CCCAGGTATTTAAATTTCCACCATCAATACTGCAGACAATTTTTTGTTATAAATTGCAATGGTTGAGCTAAAGTTAATGAGGTTAGGTTAGCTCTTAGAGATTCAAAAACGGCCATTGATTGGATAACTTTTACAAATCATTGAGTAGAATTCATTTGCAGAAGTCAGGGATGCAATTTTTTGAGATCGACATGCCCCTGGAGGCAACAGTTTCGATTTTACGCGGATTATCCAGATCATGTGAAAGTCACTCTGCCTGCGCTATCACCTACGATGGAGACGGGGACGATTATCAGTTGGCAGAAGAAAGAAGGTAGTAATCTATTCAGTTACCTATTTTTCATTCGATCCAGCAATTCAATGGCTTTCTCTAAATCTTCACGGGAAGACTAGCGCCTAAAAAATGGGTAGATAACATTTTTTTAGAGACGAGGGGATTTGCCAGACCGTAAGCCGCTGAATAGATTACAAAATGATTCTGACTCCCAAATGTGATGTAAATCCTACAATGAGGTGTATGGCAGATTGATTCAATTAATTCTACACAGAAGAGTTCAATAATTGGAATTTAATTAATTGATATATCAATAGGTGACAAACTGAATGAGGGTGACCTTCTCGCTGAAATTGAAACGGACAAAGCTACGATGGGGTTCGAAACTCCAGAAGAAGGTTATCTAGCTAAGATTGTTGTACCAGCTGGGACTAAGAACATCAGCATTGGCTCTCTTGTTTGCATTATCGTGGAGCAACAGTCAGATGTAGCGGTATTTAAAGATTTCAAAGATGATGGAACTGCTGTCTCACCTACACCTGCTGCTCCAGCTACAGCTGCTGCACCACCACCACCTCCACCAGCAGCACCAAGAGCTGCTTCTACCCCTGCGGTCGCCCCATCAGTGCCTACTAGTGCTGGAGATAGAATTTTTGCAAGTCCCATGGCAAAAAGATTAGCTGCTGAAAGAGGATTAAGCCTTCAGGTACATTGAAATATATTTCAGAAGGTATTGAAATGCAGTGAAAATATATTCACTCAATTAATATATTTTTTCTGCCAAAAAGGGATTGAAAGGATCGGGACTGTTTGGGTCGATAACTTCCAAAGACCTGGATGGCGCATCACCGGCATCTGCTGGCTCACCTGGAATTGCATTTGCTGGAGGAGTTGATATTCCCGTATCTAGCATCCGTGGTGTTATTGCAAAACGTTTATTAGAGAGCAAGCAGACAATCCCACATTATTACCTATCAATTGATGTTAGAATGGACTCTGCTCTAGCCATAAGAGAACAATTCAATAAAATGCTGGAGAAGGAGAAAGTCAAGTTGAGTGTCAATGATATCATCATCAAAGCTATTGCTATGGCCTGTAAGAAGGTACCTGAGTGCAACAGTGCTTGGATGGGAAACGTAATTCGACAGTAAGTTTTGCATCATCACAGCTGTAACTCTCCTACTACCTATATAATAGATAAAAAAAAAACAATTTGAAGTGTTGATTTTACTTGCCACTGACTGAATATCGCAGTGTCATTATTTGGCAATCCCCTGCTGGAAAATTTTAATATTAAAAAAAATCAGTTAATGAGGTACTCTGAAATTTTTTAGGTATGATAATGTAGATGTCAGTGTAGCTGTAAGTACGGACGCTGGCTTAATTACACCAATAGTCTTTGGAGCAGACTGGAAAGGTCTTGTAGAAATCAGTAAAGACGTCAAAGCACTAGCAGCAAAAGCTCGGGAGGGTAAACTTCAACCTCAGGAGTTCCAAGGTGGTACGATTACAATCTCCAACCTCGGCATGTTCGGAGTGAAAAATTTCTCTGCCATTGTAAATCCACCCCAGTCCATCATCCTGGCTGTGGGAACCACAGAAGCTAGGCTTATTCCTGCCAATAACGAACGAGGGTAATTCTTTCATTACTTTTTAACACTATCTCTTTGAGAAATCAAAACGATATTTGAAACAATTATTTTACATACCTTTGAGCAATTGTAATGAATTTTAAAAAATATATTTTCAGGTTCACCACTGCTCAATATATGACTGTAACAGCTAGTTGTGACCACAGAACTGTAGACGGTGCAGTAGGTGCACAATGGCTGTCGGCATTGAAAAGCTTATTGGAAAATCCATCGGCAATGCTCCTCTAAAAATAAGAGATATCGAAAAAAAAACGAAAATCGCTGCCGATTCAATTAAAAATTAGTTCAGCCACACTGGAGAGTATGATGCACTCTCCCTGAGTACAAGATGATACGTGTCTGTATCTGAGAAATTTATTTATTAATTGTATTATCAATAACAGTGGACTAATTTGATGGGCGTATCATTGCGTACATGATTAGTTATCGATTCTTAGACAAAAAAATTTATCACTCGAAAGTAGAATCACACAAGCGACGTACATTTTTCGAAATCAGTCAATGATGGAAGAAAATGTGCGATACGACGATATTCCTGGTGAAACGACGTCTAATTACAAGTTTAATTTATAATAGATTGCTTTATGACCGAAATTCGGTTCACGGGATCTAGTGATTTCTTTTTCTTACCCTCATGATTGTTTCTGATCCCATTGTAAATAATTATAAAAAAATATTATTTTTGTGGACAGAAAAACAATAATTGTTACGTTATTGTTGTAGCAAATTCAATTGTAATTATCAGAGAGAAATTAAATCGTTTGATGAGAATAAAGTGTATAATAAATTATGGA